GGTGTGGGTGTGGGTGTGGGTGTGGCGCTGGCGTGGCTGAGTTTGGGCTGTGTCCACTCCAGCGGCTGGTTTTCCTGGCGGCTGAGGTTGCCACGTGTAGCCGCTTAGAGGCGCTTGACACCACACGCTGTGCCCCCCCCCTCACGCAGAGAACAAGTTTGTGTCCACCGGGTTTGCCGAGGAGATTGCCAAGGCGGCCAACGGCAAATACTACTACCTGCCGCAAGCTTCGGGTGGGTGGGGGTGGGGGCAGGCGGGACCCCAGGGCGGCGCAGCAGGAATGTAGCGGCTACCTGCTCCTGGAGGGTTTGGGGGTTTGGGGCCTGGCAGAGCCGTGCCTGGAACATGCGTGCCTGTCCTGAGCGCTGCCCCCCTGCCGCCCCTGTGTGCCTGTGCCCCCCCTGCAGATGCGGCGATCGCGGCGGCCACTGCGTCTGCCATGGCAGAGGCCAAGGGCTAAGCCGCACGACATGCGCACGCGGCCCGAACCCCATCCCCTCGCTCACCCCGTTTTGCTATTCGCTCCCTTGCCTTCTTTTCATCCAATTTGTTTCGGTGCCGGGGCGGGCCTGCATTGGGCCCCCGCCCGCGCCTGCTCCCAGCACCACCTGCCCTGGCGCAGGCGCCCTGTCGCTTGCTTGCTTCCAGTCATTGGCACGAGCTCCCCCGCAGCCCTTTGTGTGCGGCAGCGGGCCACGCCGTCGCCTCACATCCTTCTAGCTTGAGCCCAATCCAAACGAGGCTGAAGGCGTCAACAATGTGCATGCTGTTTACAGGCGTGGCTACAAGCCAGCAGAGAGAGGCTGGTGATTGTGAAACAAGTTGATTGACGGCTGCTCAATCGAGCGGGCAATGGGCGCAATTGATTCGTGAAGGGGAGAAGGGTCTTGACTTGTGGAGCAGTGCTGGCATGGAGGGGAGCGGGGAAAACCGGGGGCGCTCAATTAAATAGAACACAGAGGGAGGGAAGAAAGCACACAAAGAGGGCGTGAGCAGCGTGAGCGAGCGGGCAAGAGCGGCCTTCGGACAAGGCCCCTGCACCCGCCCCGCGCTGCCCTGACGCCAAATGCAGCCCAAGCTGCGCTGTCGGCCAGGCTGCGTTGCCGTTCAGGCCCCTGCTGCGCCTCCCCCACCCACCGCGTTCATGCCCGTCCACTGTTGGAAGGTGGGGATCCAGGTGGCCAGCACCAGCGAGGGGCGGTAGTGGCGGCGGAACAGGTTGCGCCACGCCTGCGCGTGGGTGACCTTGGTGGCGCTGGCAGCAGCTTCGCAGATGTCCTCGTACTCTGCAGGGGGTGCGCAAGACGCTGTGTGTGTGTTGCGTGCGAGCGTGTGGCACAGACGGGCGCACCGCCGAGCACAATGATCGGCAAGCAACCAAGTGAGCAGAGGTGAGCAGGCAGCGGCGCGATGCCGTGATCGCGGGCTCCCGGTGACCCCACGCACGCGATGCAGCAGCCCGGGGGTGAGCCACCTGGCCCCTGCCCAGTCTGCCGTCCCCTGTTCTGTCTGCTACACCCATCCCGCCCCGCACCTGCATCCACCTGCTGCGTGCCGCGGATGCGGGCCAGCACCTTGCGCCCCTGCTCGTTCTTGCCGCGCTCAATCAGCGAGTTGGGAGAGTCGGGCAGGATGATGCTGCCCAGGGTGAGGATGCAGGCGGGCACGGCGCCCAGGCCCAGCGACAGGCGCCAGCCCTCGTCCCAGTCCTGTACCGCGTAGTTGATGAGCTGGGCGACCAGGATACCGATGGTGGTAGCCAGCTGGAACCTGTGCGGAAGGTACCCGGCGGAGCGCCCAGGGAGAGCGAGGGGCCACGCGTCAGCACGCAGGCAGGCTGGCTGGCAGGC